ATTGGCCCGAGAGGGACTTCCGGTTATTGGTCGGACCATAGCCGGGTTGTTTATTAGAGGAGCAGTGGTATTTAAGGAGCAAGATGTAACTCAGGAGTAAAATGGTAATTTGATCCAGCTAGAGTTACAAACACTCATGAAAGATTGACTTGCCGTCAATGGTCGTATATTCGTGGACACCAAGAAGATGAGAAACTCTAAAACTTGAACACATATTAAATAACTCCATACTAATTAACTCCTCAAAATTACCCAGATTTAACAACTTCAGGTTTAACAACTCCACCGTACAGCTTGAACGCCCCCTAGTGTTTAGTCACTAGCATCATACATGAATTGGAAAGGTAAATCCCAGGTAGGATCAATAATTATTAGTTATGAGCTCAAAGCATTTCTAAAAGTCTCAAAAGCATTTATATATGCATCATAAAAGAAACACTAACGACCCATCAATTTCTAGCAATTGGCACAAAGGTTTTGAAATTTTTGAGAAATCTTTAATAAAATATATAAAAACCCACATGACCTAAAAACAACTTCTTACTTCTTTAATAGAGGTAGGAGAATGTAGTTTTGAAATTAAATCAATTTTCGCACAGTCTACCTCTATTCCCTTTTTGGAAATTTTGTGCCCTAAAAAAATTTTATTCTTGTACCATAAAATGACACTTTTCTAAGTTTAAAACCAAATTCGTTTTTTCATATCTTTCTAAAACGTTCCCAAGATTTCTTAAACATATTTCTAAAAATAGAAAAGTAATCCATAAAAACTTCTAAGATATTTTCTACCATGTCATAAAAGATTGTCATCTTACACCTTTGAAATGTTACCGGTGCATTGCACAAACCAAACGACATTCGACGAAATGCAAATGTCCCATTAGGACAAGTGAAAGTCGTCTTCCCTTGGTATTCTGGTGCTATGGTGATCTGGTTGTATCTTAAATAACCATCCAGAAAGCAATAAAACTCTTCACCTGCAAGACGATCTAACATTTGGTCAATGAAGAGTAATGGGAAATGATCTTTCTTGGTTACCTTGTTCAGTTTGCAGTATTCTATGAAAACTCTCCACCTGCTTACCGTCTGGGTTGAAATTAACTCATTTTCCTCATTTGTCACTATCGTATTCCTTTTTTTTTTTTTTTGGTACGCACTTAACTGGGTTTACCCAGCTGCTGTCTGAGTTCGAGTAAATAACACCTACATCTAACCATTTCGTGACCTATTTCTTGACCACTTCTTTCATCATTGGATTCAACCTTCTCTGGTTCTCTACTGAATTTATAGCATTTTCCTCCAAAAGGATCTTCTTGAATATCAGCATTTGTCCATCCAAAAGCGTTCTTTCACTAGAACTTGCAATAATAAATACTCATGTTTAGTAGATAAACGTGATGAAATAAACATAGACAAATAACGGTTAAGCCTTAAATAAGCATATTTCATATGTGCTGGCAAAGGTTTTTGCTCCAATTTGGGTGGCTCTACTATGAAGGATTGCATCGCTTTGAAATTCTCTTTCTTCAAATTCAGCGCCTCAAGCTTTCCCATTAGCAATTGCAATACTCCCGTCACTTCTAGATGGTCATCATCTCTCGTTTCTAATTCTCCTTCAATTCCTGCAACTAACAAATAAAAAAAAAACTTTGGAAAGAAGCAGTGCCAGAAGTACTCATAGCTGAGCATTCTTCCAAATCTCCTGGCAACTTCACCTCCTCATTATTGACTTTCATAGATATATCTCTTTTCCTCACATTGAATACTATATCCACAGTTGCTAAAAATTGTCTCCCTACAATGATAGGTACTTCTGGACCAACCTCACAATCTAAGATAGTATAATCTGAGGGAAAGATGAATTTATCCACTTGGACTAAAACATCTTTTATTTTACCCTCAGGCTTTTTATAGACCTATCAGTAAGTTACCATTGTTGATCCATCTGCTTTTGAGCTAGCCTTCCCTTCGTTCCTTTTATCTTGGAGAGTCACACTAGTAGGTCTTGCTTCGCCTATTTCTAATTCCCTGAAAACATACAATGGAATGAGCTTATGCTAGCACGTAGATCACACAAGGCTCTCCCTAGGTTTTTGCCTCCAATTGAACAAGGTATGGTTAAACTCTCAGGTCTTTACACTTAACGGGAAAAGAACTTCCTACAGCATCACTCCTGCATTTAGTCATAGCCATCAACTCGTGTTCACCTAGTTTCTTCTTTCTAGACACTATATCCTTTAGAAACTTACCGTAACTTGACATTTGTTTCAAAGAATCTACTATAGAAATATTAATGTGCAAGTGGATATCTAAGAACTTCCTTAGTTGAGTTTATTGGTTTTTCTTTGCTAATCTGTAAGGAAAAAGGAGGATCATGTTTTAAATTATTGCTTACTTTATGAGGTAAGTCAGGCGCACTCACCTTACCTGAATAATTTTCCCTCTTTTTGGCTTCTCAAACTCAGTTGAATTATTCTGAGCTGATGTTGGTATCTCTAGACCATCATATGTTAAGTCTGCTTCTCGATGTTACAACATTACACTGTTCTTTTTGCTCTCTTGCTGGTACCTCAAGCCGCTTCTTTTTTTAATTTCTTGTCGTCGTTTTATAAGTCTCTACTCCTTACTTAACCTTCCAATATTTCTTTCAATCTCAGGATCGAGAGACAGCAGAAAAGGTTTTGTGCTCATACACTATACACAAACTCGTGAGGTTAAGAATAAGTGTGCCAAATGTGTTGGAACATACACAACAATTACACAAATAAACAAATCACAAAAACTTGAAAAAGACTAAAAATTACTTACTTCCCCACAACAGCACCAAAAACTTATTTAAAACTCTGATTAATAGCGAAAGATTACAGTAGTAATTTAGATGAGTATTCCGAGATCGATACTCAGGGACAAAATGTATTTTTTTTAAATTATGGTGATGAGTGAAATGTAATTGATTTTATGATAAAAACAAGGGGAATATTGTTGGTTTTTGTTTTGAAACACTTGAGTATGAAAGACCAAGCCCTTCTACTTCGATTTAACTAAAAAAATAGTACGAGGAATAACACTAGGGCCAGGTGCACCTCCCTGTTTTTGAATTATTCAACCTCTTAACCTACTTTATGTCTAAGAGATTTTGACGTTCTAAGTCTTTTACTAATATGTCTATTAATAAAAAAACATTAGTTTGACAAAAACCAACCCCAACCAAGGAGTGAGGTCCTATTTCTAGACTACTTAAACGGAAGCTGTATGTCTAAAGTCTTCATCTCCTCAGTTTAATCAAAAATACTATATTCAACCCTTTCAATAATGAATAAATGTACTAACTCCTTAATTGGCCAAATAAATTCGTTTAACTTTTTCAAACAATTTGGTTGATGAAAATACGATGGCCTGCTATCCTCTTTAAATTTAAAGGTTAGTTAATTCTTCATAAAAGGGCCAGAAACAATGAAATTAGCTCATATTTAAATGGTTAAAACTAAATTAAATGGAGATGAAATTAAAAGACATCTTAAAGAATTGAAACTAGAAGATAATGCTGGAAAATTAGGAAATTGCAACCCACATGAATTTTACCCTCCTCTTTCGAGCTAGGATAGTAGAACTCGTTCGATTCCATAAGAATGCGTGCTTATAAGGACCCTTGAAATGTAAATAACACACAAGATATGAAGAAGAAGGATTAAATCTAGAATTTTGAATTGATGGTCACGGTTTACAAGTAAGAACTAAGAACAAGCTGGAAAACGAATGAAAGACTTGACAAAAAGATGATTGAACGAATTTGAACTAAAAGAAGCTAAACTAAGCTCAAATTCGTGATGAATGAAAGGGAATAGCTGCTAGAATTTATAGACTGTTGCAGATTGTTGAAGTTTGACTAACCAACTTTGAAAGAAAAATCATAATTTCATACTAAGATGACATGAAATTTGTCATAATTTCAACTTTAATTGCTGCCAAAAGCTGATATGTACATGTTTATACTGTGATTAACTGATAATGCAAGACATGGCCACAAAACCAAGCTTTTAACAACCATTTCCAAGTGGAATCAAGTTAAAATGAGTATAAACAACTCTTTTTAATCCTTGAAATCAAGGGAGATCAGGGACCTAAGGGAAGAAGATGATGGGAGAAGAGAAAGGAAGGATCTGAATTGGGAGGGAAGAGAAGCAGATGAGAAGGCAAGGAGCTGCAAATGCATGAAGACTCACCTTCTTCATGCATCTCTTCGCTCAATCTCATCATGGGCCAGCTTGGCCTAGCCCGGCCCGAGTTAGACCCAAGATCAAATCCATAGGTCTAATTCAATGGCCAAAGTTGGACTTGAATTACCTTGTATGATAAGATATTTTTTAAATATTTTTTTAAACAAACTTCTTGTATTCTAGAATTTGTGTTTTTATTTAATTTTTTATAATTTTTTTATTTTTAAAAAGTTATCCAACAATTTTTGTTATATCGTATTTTTACAATTTAATTTATTTTATTGTTACAAAAATAAATTGTATTGATTTAGAGGGATGAGAATGATAATAAAGAATAATCCTAAATATTTAACTAATTATATATTAATAATATATATATATATATATAATTCATTCATACTTTTTTTCCCTGCACGATCAACCAAATAAAAATAGGTAAACTTTTAAAATTATAACCATTAAATTTATAATTTAACCAAAAAGCTTACAAGTAAAATATGAAATAATAATTTTTTTCCTTTCTTTATAATAAGAGGTTTGCACTCTGCCCACTGGCATTAAACAATACAATCCCGAGCCCTTACAATCCCGAGCCCTTACCAACTAGACTGTCCCTTACGAGCCATGAAATAATAAATTTTAAAAGCCGAAGCAAAATTGATCCCAACATTAAATTATATTTTAACCTTCATTTTTAATATAATATAATCAAACTAAGCCAAATTACGTTTTTGAATAAATACACACCCCTGTTAAACCTTGTATGGTTACTAAAGAAAAGGATCATTAAACTATTCTCCTTTATTAGTATCAAAAGATTAAAAAAAAAAAAAGATTATTCTACTTTATTTCATTTGCTTTACACAGATGCTCCATCAATAAAAATATAAATAAAAAATAAATTCTCTCTAATAAAAGATTTCATCTACGGACAACCAATCCTCTAAAACTTACCCACAAATTATGGAAAGATAATTTACCACTGATTTGGGAAAGCTTCTCTGTAGCTTGCATCTTCATTCAGTTTCAGCTGCTTCTGAGTTGAATCCCTGGATCTTGAGCCTAACAGCCTCTGCGATAACCTATCCTTTGTTGATGCTTTCTTACGCAGCATCGACGCAAGCGTTTTCTTCTTGCTTCGAGCTGATCCGGTCTCCTCACCAGCTGTTTCCATGTGCTCGCCCACAGCAGAAGATCTTGATGTCGATGCCACTGCAGCATCGCGCAAAACAGCTTCATTGTGCTCGCGAATTTTTGCAAGTTTGGCACGCTTCTGTGTTTGTTTGTCATGTTTCCTCTTCTTTGCTGCCTCTTCATCTCTGGCACGCACGTTTTTCACAGCCTGTCTTGCTAATTTGTCAACAAATCCAGTCCCAAGATCAGGAGTCGTCTCATTCGATGAACTGCCCAGGTCCAGTGGTCGTCCTTCATCATCACGAGGCACAATAGGTCCATGAAATGGGCATACTCTGAGATCTCTTCTCTGACAAAGTCCTCCTTTACTTAAAGGAGTACGACATGGTTGGATTTCGGGTTGGTCTTCCTTGTAAAGTGAAGCCCGAACATTCAGTTCTGCAATTTTCTCTGCTGGAATAGTTGCATCATAGTCTACCCGACCCCAGTGACTTTCAAGCTCTAATCCTCGCTGGTTAGCCAGAATATCCCTATTCGAATCCCAGGTATTTAAGAAAGTGCCCCATTCGATAACTGGAGCTTCAGCTAAAAGCTTATTCCTCAGGGATGAGGTTGAATCATTACTACCAACTTCACTATTCTGCACCACATTGCCAACATGTGCCTCACTACTCATTTCAGTTTCAGCGTTTTTAATCACACCGGATGTTGAAGCCACAGCAAGATCTTCCATTTTCCTTTCGGATATAAAGGAACCTCCAGTCTCCATTGCTTCCACCTTACCCTCTTCCCAGAAATCTTCGTCTTTGTCATCATGATTCGCGCTTTCAGTAAAAGTAAAACCGGACTCTTCACATCTCTTTTTCACTGCACGTAGACTATTTCGTATATCGATGAACTCCCTTAAGGCTGAGTCCCTGAATCTTACCTCTGTTGAGTCAACCCTAACAAGAACAGAGATCCACTCTTGGATGGAAACCAGATGTTTTGACATAAGCTTGTAAAGCTCCCTTAATGCATCAAAAATCACTTTGTTATCATGATTCTCATGAACCTTTTCCCCTTCTTTCAGTGCATCAAGACGAATTTGTCTCAACTCGGACAATCGAAACTCTTCTGTAGTGTCATCATCATCCAAAGGGATCATGGCTCTGGAATCCTCTTTAGAATGGACAATATCCAAACACTCTTTGATCTCGTCTAAAGTTGATTGAATTTCTTCCTTGATAGAAGAAAAGTTTCCTTTCAACACTTCAAACTTGCTTAGCAATATCTCTTTCGACCTTCTTTCTCTTTCCATCCTCTCTTGCTGCCGCCGTGCTGCGTTTGCCTGTATATTAGGAAATTTAAACCGAAGAGTGTTCCTCAGGTAGTCGTAACCTAATCTAAGCTGTCTGTGATAAATACCGAAAGAATCATTCCATTTCTCTAAGAACTCGATGGCCTTTGAACGCAACGTAGATGCAACAGCTGGTGGTGCAGGAAGTGGCACATTTCTTCTGAATCCAACACTTAATGTCAACAGCTGATCCAATTTCTCAACAACAATGGATCTGAAAAGCTTTGACCTCATGAAGAGTTCATCAATTATCAGAAGTGCGAGATAGCGGACCTGCCAAACATTAAAAAAAGATCCAAGGTTCATATATTTCCATCACTGCACATCTATCCTCCTGACTCTCTATTGTATTCTCATCACAAAGATTGCAACAACTAGAAAAGATGAAATATTAAAAACACAGTAACAAAGACGACATTTGGTTCATTCCAAATTCTTTAATCCATCCTATACCATTCTAAGAAAAAACATCAAGATAAATAATACTGACATGCTTGAATAAAACATAAACTGTGATTACGTTTTTTATCCCACAAAAGTTCCACTACCTTCCCAGTCAATGAGAGATAGAAATTAAACAGAAGTTATTGCTCTGTAGAATAAAGAGATATGTATAACATTTAACAAAGAGAAAACTATTATAAGCATGGTAAATTTTTGGTTTTGTATGTAACTGTTTTGGAGTTTCTTGAGGCAACAGCTGGTTTCAAGATATTATGCCTTTCCTTTAAGAGTTTTCATTGTTGACAAAGTTCAGAAGAGATTCTTCAAGTTTGTTTTTGTCTATTTGTTGCCGGTTCCAAAGGTGGCTGCTGGTTCATTATTTAATGAGGAAAGAATTTTGTGCCAAGTCGGGTGGCAAGAACATCAAAACTTTTAATTCTGATCTAGCGCTCACATCATATCAATTTTCTCAGCACATCATTTCATGGTGAAGATTAATCGAAAAGGCTGTTTATCAAGCACTTTTATCAAATAAAAACTACAGTAACCGAGCCAATCAAATGGGAGAAAACACGTCGAGAAGAAACCATATTTTATAAGGAGATTTATGAAGACCCACGGACCCGAGATAACGCAGTTTTCTAAAACTTTTTCGTTTCCCACTCGATCTATGAACGCAACTTCAATCAAATTCCAAGGCAGAGACCAGAAAAAAGTTCCTAAACGATCGAATACAAAATTCAGGCAATAATTGACGCACATACAACAAAATAAGTCTAACCGACGAAGAACTGTACTGATGAACATGAAATTAACATCCGAATCCAAACCGAAATTGAACAGAAAAGAAACCTGAGAATGGTCGCGTTTCATAAGGTCCATGAGAGTTTGGGCAGCGACTCGGAGCTCTGAATCGGAGCACCGTACAACCGATTTGATGGCCTTGAGGAGGCGAGGATGGACCTCCGAATCCGTAGAGTTGGTAGCCTTGTCGATCAAAACCCTAACTCTGGCTCCTTCTCCTCGCTCTTCCGCCATGGTCATTGGTCAAACACAGACATCGCCCTAATTTTCCAAAGGCCGCAATATATAATATAACTACTCCTCCACTGTCTCGGCGCCACCGCCACCCTGTGATCCCGATCCAACGGCGAGAAAGGAACGAGAATTTTGTGGCGTTGAACAATCAGATTACAATTCAGAAGAAGATGGATCAGAAATCATGTCGCGTTGGTCCTTCAATTTCATCGTCCATTTTGTGAAGAGATTTTGTTCGAATCGAAATGGTTCAGGCTCAGGCTCAGGTTCAGGTTCAGGTTCATCCATGGCCACGGGCGAGGGCTTGGAACTTGAAAGAGAGAAGAAGGAAAATTGGTTTTGCGAATGCACCTAATTTTTTTTTTTCTAATTTAATTTTTCACTAACATAAATACAAAAAAAATTAAAAATATATCACTATTTTTTGAAAAAAAAAAATTTAAAAAGAAATATATATATATACATACATATGCACAGATACACATACACATACACACACTGAATTAAAATGGGAGGATCTTTAAGAAAACATTTTTCAACAATTTTATTCCTTCTTTAATTTATTAATTTACAAAATATGCCACTAATGATTTATAATAAATGTCTATGTCCTAGAGTCAGAAAGAAAAAAAAAATGTCTCTATCTAAAAAGATTAGAATACAAAAGGTTTCTACCACAGAAAATTAATTTTTTTATTTAATTACAATTTATATTAAAATTTCAAAAGTTTGGTAATGTTTTATACTTTACTACTATGAAAATAGAATTCTTTCACTAATTTTTCACAACACGTAGTTCTTTCAAAAATTGCTCTTAAATATTATTTAGTCTAAAAAACATCTCAAGAACATGTTGGTGGCATATTTATTAAGTTGTAGAGAATGCATGTGTCAAATCTATATCTCCAATCCAAAGGTTGTGATGCTATTGTTTCATAATTTATGAAGTTGAATAATAATGATCATCAAGCAGTTATCAACGATTAACATATTTTAAACGAGTATATAGCAAGAGTTTGATTTTTATTTTCTCTACTATTGCTTTTATCGTTCTTTTATAACTAGTGTATTATTTTATTTCGAATGTTTTTTTTTTAAAATAGTAATGTATTGATCCATACAAGAAAAAAATAATTTATCAATAATTTATATGAAATGTAAAAAGTTTGGAATAGATAATTTTTTGTCACTTCATTTTTCAATAATATAATTTAAAGAATCTTTCTTTAATAATTTTAATTATAATATAAAATTAAATTAGTACAAATTAAAATGTTTAGTATATAACAAAATGTTAGTTTTAAAATTTTTTAGAATTTTTAATAAACAAACAAAACATTTATAAAAAATAATGGACCTAAATTAGATAAAATAACATTTTCGAAATAAAAATCCTAAAGTACTTATATATTTTCTAATTAATATATTAAAAATAATGAAATATAACCTAAAATTTATTAAAAAAAATAAGTGGTATGAAATAATGCAATTTAAATACACCTATAAAATCAAGTGATTAAATTAGTAAAATGATTTTATTTCAAGTTAAAAAGTTCACCATATATAACAAAATGTTAGTTTAAATTTGTTTTTGAATTTTCAATAAACAAGCTATTTCAGAAAAATAATAATAAACAAGTAAATAATTTAAAAATTTTTATATGGATTCAAAATAAGTAAAATGATATTTTTAAAATTCTAAAATACGTACACATTTTTAATAACTATATTAATAATAATGAAATGTAAAATAAAATAAAGAAGTGGTATGAGGTACCTCGATATTTCATCTATTTCATTTTAAACATATTTATTCATAAAAAAATAATTATTATTAATTTTATATTTTTATTACTACTCTAATTATAAATAATAAAATAAATTTCTCAATTTGTAATATATAAACACAACATTTTGTAAATTTAAAGAACATAATAATTCAATTGTTGTAATATAAAATATAGTTAAAATAGAATAATAAAATCATTTGATTATTTTTCAAATCATTTTAGTTGTCTTGGATAATAAAATCATTTAAAATAGAATAATATAAAATACATTTAAAGTTGAAAAAATAAAAATGGACATATTTTATTAACAAAAATCATTTGATTATTTTTCAAAATAGAATGATAGATATAAGGATACGTACTATAAATTCTCGGAGAGAATTGAGCCTATGACCGAAACAAAGCCTATGTCCAAAGGTTCGGTCTAAAATCACCCAAGTGCCAACCCACTAAGTTAATGCAAAATCAAGTTTAACTCACACAAACAAACTTTATTTGGAATTCTCATGTGAATAGCCTCATTTCAATATCCATCTTATTTTTTGTTGTTTTGTTTTGAAAATTAAGTTTATATATACTACTTCTACCTAAGGTTTAAAACGTCCATGTCGATGGAAATGTCGAGGTCTCGATTTTACGGACATGCCCATGTCGATGGATATTTCGAGAAAAATTATGAAAATAGTGGATATTGATGGAAATTTTTTAAATTAGTAAATAATATTTCAATTGTAGCTTAATTAGCCTATAACTAATCACTTTTAACCATCATATCTAACATATAAGTAATATACTTATAAAAATATATCACGATGAAAATGTTGAAACAAAATCATGTATACATATATAAAAATTATTTGACTCAATAAATTAAAGTTTAATGTTGATTTTTTATTGATAATTTCTAATCCAATCTAATTACATAATTGAACAAATAGGTGAAATATAGATATATATAAAGTATGAAATAAAATCTAAAAAATTAGATTTAGTTTAAAATTTAAATGTTTAATAATAATTAGTTAAATTATTTTCTTTATTAGTTTGTTTACAGATTTGGTTAGTTAAATTTCATTTAAATTTTGTTTTTCTTTTAAATCAATAACTTGAAGATTTTGTTATATTTTTTAGTTAAATTTAATTTTTTAAAATTGATTATAGGTTTCTTTTAAGATTTTGTTAGATTTTTTTTTATTAAATTTAGTTTAAGAATTAATTTTTTTATAAATCGATTGTTTATAATCTATTTCTTTAAGATTTTATTAGATTTTTATAGTTAAATTTAATTTGATGTTTGTTTTTTTTTTATTTTTTGAACCAAAATGATAAGAATTAAATTTTTCTAAAATTTAAATGTTTAATAATAATTAGTTAAATTGGTTTTAAATATTTGTTTGTTTTAAGATTTCATGAGTTAAATTTAATTTAAAATTTGTTTTTCTTTTAAATCAATCCATTTAAGATTTTGTTAGATTTTTTAGTTAAATTAAGTTTTTAATATATCACTGTTTATAATCTATTTCTTTAAGATTTTATTAGATTTTTATAGTTAAATTTAATTCGACGTTTGTTTGTTTTTTTTTTTCATTTTTTGAACCAAAATGATAAGAATTTAACTTTAATTTATTTAAAACAAAAATAGATAACGCCGAATGTCGTATAATTTCTTACTATTATTTTCAACTTTTCTGTATACTCTTCCACAAGCTTTGAATTTACATAGAATTGAAAGACGTTTTGAACATAAATCCTTCTTTTTTTAAGGTTTTGGATTCAAAATTTAGATTTTTTCTTGAAAAACAACAGATCTTCCTCTAAGTATCAACTAACTGGAAGGCCACCATGGATCTAGATTTTTTCAATAGTTTAGGGATTCAATGAAAAAAAAATCGACATTTGATCGACATTTCTTGACATTTCCTCGACATGTCGACATGTCGATGACATTGGGGGAAAATGATTTTCTCCCCCAATGTCGATGTCGAGACTGTCGACACGTCAACATGTCGACCGAAATTTTGAACATTGCTTTTACCTATGTATTTGTTTATCTACTTTTTGAAAATATATTCTGTTTATGCAAGGATATGCACAACAGTGTGTTCCAGATTGCAGCTCGAACTTGGCCTCCGGACCGACCTGAACACTTGGGCGAACCTGCACAAAAAGGTGAGCACTCCGACGATCAAGTCAGTATAGGTCGGATTCCCAGTTTAGTTCGAGGCCAGAAATCATCGTACCTGATCGGGGAGTGAGGCCCACTACTTATGGGTGGTAGTCCCGCTAATCTCGCGACGGTTACATTCGGTAATCTCGGGACCGTCGGTTACACCCGGTAATCTCGGGACCGACGGTTACGCCCGATAATCACGCCGCAGACAGTTGCTCACATCGGCCCCTACCAAGCTCCCCGATAGGTCAGACCTGGGCCAGGTTCACCTCGGCCCTCATACTTAGCATTTGTCGACGTTAGTGGCGGCCACCTCGGCTATCCGAGCTGGGCATGACTCATGAGCCATCTTGGAGCACCAATAGGGGTCCTCCACGTGTCCAGGGTATTCCCTTCCCCAAACATATTCCATTTTTTTATATCAAAATATGTTCCATTCGAAGACTAAAAAGGAGTAGTTTTAAAAACTTTAATTTGTTTTATAAATTTAATCATAACTTTTTTTTAAGAAAAGTGATAAGCCTAAGAAAGAAATAGTAAGAAATTTAACCTAGTTTCTTAGAACAAAGAACTAAAAGCGAAATCATTACGAAGCAACGTTTTAGTTTCTAAATTTTAGTTGTCTTTGGATTTGAATAATGTATTTCTTAGTCACAAGATGGTGGCTTATCTTGAGTCTTAAGATGACGGTTTTGCAACCTCAAACTTAAAAATGAATGGATAGCTAAGGTGGCAAAAAAATAATGGATAACTAGGTTAGATCACTCTCTTAGCCATCCCTTTATTCCCACCTCAAACTTATGGAATTGTTGTAATTAATTCCTACCATTATAATTTTTTTTAGTACCCTACCATTATAACTTCTTTTTATGTTTTCTATTTTTTATTTTTGGTTTTTGAAAAGTTGACTTATTTGATAATTCATTCAATTTTTTGTTTTCTATTTTTTTAAAATGATTTTAAATAAATTTTTAAAAGAAAAAAAGTATTTTTTAAAAAAGTATTTATGTTTTTTAAAATTCATTTCTTCTTCCTCAACTCTTTTTCTTTGACATATTTATTTATAACAAATTTACTTCTCGCTCTAAAATTTTTCCTACTTAAAGTTCTTTCTAAAAAATTTTTATCCATTTATGTATAAAAATTTTATTTCTTTCTTCTTTGTATAGCACCCTCATTTTTCTCTCTCTAAAAATTTAATTTTTGTCCAACATTTCTTCTTTCTCAAATTTTGTCTAACTTTTCTTTCACTTTCTAGTATATTTTTCCTCTAGCAAATATATGTCCAATAACTATTTAAATATTTCCCCTTTCAATTTTCTTTCGTGATAACTTTTCTTTCCTTTTCAGATGATAAGCAAAAATAAGAAGGGAAACAAAACAATCAGAAGCAAT